AAAAGTAACTAAGTAACTAAGTAATTAATTACTTTTGAAAATAAGTAATCAGTAAAGTAACGGGATTATTTTTGGGGGGAAGTAATCAGTAATTAGTTACTGATTACTTTTTTCAAGTAACTTGACCAACACTGGTCTTGACTGCTGTGTGGGTCCCGTTAGTTGCAAAACAGGCATTTTTGTGGTTTTACAATGAATTTGCCTACCTGTTTGCACGCCTGATGTGTTAGCCCTGTCACAGGGCAGAGGTTCAGTTATTGCCATGTCTGTGTTAAATTTTTGGCTGTTTAGTCTTGTCTGCTGTGTAGTGGAGCATGGCAGTTGAAAGACTGAGATGCTTTTATAGAATTATATTAGAGTGTGACAGAATGAATACAACTAAAACCTGACAAATCTGCAGCAACTTGACACTTTCATGTTATTATGGTCAAAATCCTCTGAAAAATGTTTCCAGCACCTTGATGAATGTGTGCCAAGAAATATGCTAAATAAAGCTCTGAATTAAATCTAGTCATAGTAAAATGTACAACGATTTCCTTGTACTTTTAGATACAATGAAGTATAGCAGTAATATTGTATTACCTGCTCAGCGCAGTGACCACATATTAAAAGGTGGCAGTGTTGTACCATTGACCAAAAGTGTTTCTTCAATTTGAAAATGAAGAAAACACCAGAAGCAACATGGCTCCTTTTCAGTTTGTTCAGACTTTTAAGTTGTTAGTTTGTTGCATGTGTGATGAAGTGTTTATGCAGCTGTAGAAGTTATAAAAATATTCAGAAATGGAAATAAATGCCTCTGTGCTCCATTATGAGTGAAATGGAGGCCGGTCACGGAGAGACTGACAGAAGTTGTGGAGGACGTAACGGAGAAAATGCTGCACACTCCAGGTTTGGAAACACAAGACACCTTTTAAAAGAAATGACTGCTTCAGTAGTGACATTTATCAGGGTGACCTGCCTTGAGCTAGTTTGTTTTTATATGGTTCATACTGAGCAAAAAGTGGAGACATTTTTTATTATTGAAGCTTCTGTAGGTAAGGGTGACCTTCACTAATGAGGCTTCAGTGAACAGCAGGTGCCTCAACTGAAAGGCCAGATGCATCTTTCAGGTCCTGCATCAAGTCCTTTGATGGATTTCTGTCCTGTTTCTTAAGGACATGACTTTCAGATACTGTTTACCTGCTGGAGATAGTGTTTTTAGGCCTTCCACTTCTTCTTTTGTCCTAATTTGTGTGATTGTGTATTTTTTTTTAACTTAATTCGTCCTTCCAGGTTGAGTTTGGGTGCAAACACTTTTAAGAGCTTTATAGGCTTCGGATCAATTCTGTATTTGGTTGACTTTTTGGTCTCTGGAGGCTTCATTCACTACTTTTTGACTGTGCTCTTTTGTGTCATACCTTTGCCTACACACAGGTCACACGGCAAAGTGCGAACTGATCTTGAAAAGTAAAATTACTTCATGTCATCCGGTTTCTTTATTTTAATGAGACCTTTACCTGGATAAATTAAGGATAATGAATGAAAAATAACCCTGTGTAGCTTTTAGTGTCTAAATCGTAAATAGTGGTAAGTAGTTTTGGTGAAAATAAATAATGCAGCCAAGGTTAACACATTTGGAGAGTTTTTAACTGCACTGTGTGACATTATTTACACCACCCCCATCCCATCCAGCTTTTAAATGTAGGACCTTTTTTGTCTTTTAAAAGTAGGACTATTTAATTTACATCCAGAAACACAAATTAATACATGTCAGAAATATAATCGCTTCCTTTAATGTTGTTTTTTTTAACTGGCATCCTTTCCATGCAGATAAAGTATCACTGTTTGGGTCCAATGGTGAAAAGAACATTTCATCTGAGTAGCAGTTGCATGATGAGACAAGGACTGATCTATGACAGATTAAAGAAAAGTATACAGAGATAGACTCTGAGTTTAGCCTTCACAGTTTTACTAAACCCAACAAGCAGAAAAGGGGACCTCAACGGTGGAAATGGAGAAGGAAGGAGAGCACCCAGGTGTGCCACCTGTCAACCTAAAGGTACTGTCAACAAAAATACAAAAGGTGGGAGTCAAGATAAAGATATATAAACGATGAGCTACTTAAATCAAAGACAAGAACGCCTCGGACAGGAACTCCAGGTATGGATGTTTACAAAGTGAACGGAAAATCTTTCCAACAAAGATGAAAAATCGTTCTCAGAGAACAGCTACAACAAACAAAAACCAAATACTGAATGCAGTTGTTGCAGAGTTTTTCCAGCACAGATGCATTTTTCTGAAATGTGCACTGACGCATGAAAAAAAGTGCAGATGTTTGTGAAGTTTGTGGAAAACATCTGAGGCAGACTTTTCTGATGCTGAGAGTACAGAGGGTGAGAGTGATGAGGCCTGGAAGAAAAGTGAACAGAGTGATAAAACGGACAGAAAAAACAAAGTCTGAGGGACACAGGAAGAGAGATTTCTCTAGCAAGTCTTTCTGCTACCTCTTTCTTGAAGCATGCGCAGGAAGGCAAGAAGGATGCAGATATGTGTGGCGTGTGTGGGAAACATTTTGAGACCCAGGAAACCTTGAAGCTTCGCTTGTAAGCTTACCCCCAAATAAATGACTGTGAAGTTTGCGGCAAACATTTTGAAGGCCACAAACACACGGAGCTGTACATGAGAACACACACAGGAGAGAAACCATTTGTCTGCACTGTCTGTGGGAAAGCGTTTACTCAAAATGGAAATTTGATGGGGAGAGACCGTGTGTTTGCAGCGTGTGTGGTCGGAGCTTTAGCTTTGAAGAATACATGAAGGCTCACATGAGAGTCCATACGGAGGAGAAGCTGTTCCTGTGCAGGATCTGCAGGAAAGAGTTTGGGCAAAGGGGCGCTCTGAACACATGAAGATCCATTCAGCAGGGTCCACATATCAAAGCGTGATCTGTGATGAAAAGTTGTATAAGCCCGACGCGCTGAAGATCCACATGAGATCCCACACAGGTGAGAAGCTCTATCTGTGTAATGTCTGTGGGAAAAGCTTCACTTACCAAACACATGGGTGTCCACAAAGGAGAGCTGACACATCCTGTGGGAAAACATTCCTGAGGAAAGACGAACTGAAAAGACATCTAATAACTCACGGGGATGAATCCATCCAGCTGATCAGTCTATTAAAGTCTTTAAGGCTGAGATTAGGTACTACTTATTAATCCAAACAGTCAGGTTACATCACTCAGGTCTTACTGTTAGATTTCATTTGAGCATCAAGGCAAACATGCACAGTTTCAGAGATTATATGATGTTAACTCTGAAATCCAGTCTCTTTTTAATTTGGGCTTAAAGTCCTTTTTGTTATAAGATTTCATTTTGAATATTCCAATCAGGTGAAAAATTCACATACATTTAAAAGACATTAAAATCTCTTTTTCAAGATAGACCTGTCCAAGAGGGCAGCAGAAGTGACAACAACATGTAACAATATAACAAATAGAAAACCAAAACGCACGCCCCGTTACCCAAAGAGTCTCAGAAGTTTTTCTACTGAGATTGGACGATGTCGTGGAGCAGAACCACATACCTGCTGTCCAAACCTTTTATAATCAGAATAAAGTTGACTTGAACAGAAAGACAGCTAAAATGTCTTGTTTCAGATAAGAAGTTAACAGAAGAGCTGCACCAATTCCCAGTATAAGATATGGGTTATTTTGAACTTATTATATTTTGAGAGCTTTGCAGCGCTCTGATGGTACAGTCCAATCGTTTGAATCCTAGCTAGATTGTGGGGCAATTACTGGAAATATTAAGAAGTCATATGCAAAATATGTGTAAAATATTAAGATATTTCTTTTATCCAGCATCATTGTATGTGCTTTAATTATAAAAACAGCTCTATATGATTTCACAATTAATACTTTCTTATATAGAGCTTCACATCTTATCTTTTCAGAGTCACTATAAATGAAAATTACAGATATAAATGTATATTTCATTTATAGATAGATCGATCAGTAGTCTTTCATTGTTGAAACATTATTAAAAAAAACAAATCTCCAATAATTTTGATAAAAAAGTATAGTTTTAAAAATAAATGCTGTATTTGCATATTTGGAATTCTTGGATGTTCTTTGGTTTTCACTGTACCAAGCGGTTGAAACATGGTAGTCTGCGAAACACAGAATGATATTTTCCAGCGATTTTATTGGTAGAATTCCTCTTTTTCTTCTTCTCTACTCAGTTTTGGGGTCACCACAACAGATCACCTTCAACTCACCCTATCATTAGCGTCCTCCTCTGTTACACCAACCCTCTGCATGTCCCATCAGCTCTTTCTCTTTACCAATGATGGTTCCATCATGCCTTCTCCTTCTCCTCTTCATTTGTCTTTAGCTAACAGTAGCACAGTTTCCACCGGCACCCTGTTAACCTCGACCAATCCAGTATAGAAATCACATTCTTGATGATCTGCATGTTTGATTTATGCCAGATGTTGACATATAACTGAAAAAGTTGCAAAGGTCTTTTTTTATACATACAATAATTTTTTAAATATATATTTTTATGTAAAATTTGTTAGATGCAGAATGTAAGGGGTCACATAACCAGTGTTTAGTTAAGATCATGACTGGGGCATTGTGGGTCACAAGTGGCATGGAAGCATGGACATATAGCCCCCTAAATACCCTTATTCTGCATTTGGTCTAAGACACATACAATTATCATTTTTAACTATTTATATTGTGTAATGTAATGTAGTGTGTAATACTGCCTTTACAAGGAGAATGGGCCACAAGTTTAGTGACTGTATTTCATTTATTTGGCATTATTTTTTGGTGGACACTAGCATGTGAGGCAAGTATGTTGTGATACACAAAGCTCTTCAGCCTACATCTTCAGGTCTTTTATTGTCTTTTAGTTTCCATGGGGTTTCTTGACGTCTTAAAGACATCAGTATGATTCATGCCAGTATTTCACTGGGCCTGTGCAACCAGAAAGAGAAATCAGACTGACTAGCAGAGGTTCAGTTTAAACACAATTTATTTTTCTGCTTAAATAATTACTTGGATCATCCAGTGTAGGCTATGTTGGTTTGTCATACATGTCGGTACCAGATTTATTATCAACAATGGATGCTTAGGGTGGATTCATATGAGAAAAAAAAACACAACAGAAAAACAATTTACACATGAACAGAAAGTCGCATTTTTAATAACTGACAGTGATTTGTGTGTAATTATAAAGATTTAGATTTGAGCGATGGGGCTAAAAATGAGATTCTCTGTTCTCGTGTAAATAGAAGCAAATAAACAGGATAAAAATCATCAACGTAAAAGTCCCCTTTTAAAAACCACAGTAGAACTAAAAGTTTAAACATACACTTCTAGTATGCATGGATTTTTTTCCTAATGTTAAACACACACGCGCGCACACAGACAAACGCACACACACACACACAGCGTTGCTAGCGGTCTAGAGCTAACAATGTGCTAGTCTGAAAGATGCATTGGACAGTGTCAGTACTTTCCTGTTGCATAAGAAGGATGCTGTACTATCTCGCCACTAGGATGTGGAGTGTCATTTCATTTGTAAAAAAAAAGAAAAAGAAAATAAATAAAAAAACAAAACAGTTATAGATGAAAGATGTTTGGGTTACTATGAGTGCTCACACAGACAGAAGTACCATCACACCCTCTCTAAGTTGTATTACAGTGCTTTGAATTAAGAGAAAGAAAGGAAAGCGTTAAAAATAAAGTGACATAACATGCAGCAAAATATCATTTCTCTGAAGAATGTCCCTCAGACAGAGCAGAGTAGCTGTTGTCTTTAAAGAAAATGTCCTCTGTTGAAAATCAAGCATTTTTTTCTCCATTCGTTTTATTCACATACAGCTTTTTTTTGTTCCTTTTTATATTTGGGAAGAGCACGTCAGAAGACACACTCCAGGCTGCACGAAAAGTGTCGACCTCTCAATACAAATGCACTGGCTCTGCAAAGCTTCATCAACTCAAATCAGTGCATAAACAATCTGTGAAGCTACCAATTCTTTTTTTTAAAGATTTTATACAGTGTCATTTATGTACAACAAAAACACCCAGGTACTATTATATCTCCTTTGTTTTGTTTTATAAAAGAACCACATGGTGCACCCCGATACTGTGAGTGCAGGAGGAAAAAATAAAGCCATACAAGGCGAGTGTCTGAGAGAGTGAAGTCTTTTCCCCCGCTGTTTGTGCCGTCTTTGGTCACAGACGCCTTTCATTTGCCAAAGATTAAAGAAGTTTCCAGCTCACGTCCATGCGTGTCCTTCGGTGTTGTTTTCCAACAGTGAGTGAGTTTGGTGACATGCTCATGCGAAATCAAAGAAAAGTAACGTGTTGTCTTGCTGAAAACCATGCGTTGTAAAGCGAAAGCTTCAGACACGTGTTGGCTCCCGGTTTCATTGGCTCCGGTCTGTTTTTCCTCCCAGGGTCATGTGTGGGGGTCCATGGACCTGAGTGTAAAGGAAAGTTTATACTTCAGATTGGTTGTTGTATTAAAAAAAGTAATTTTCTGCTTTAGGATTGCAGTTTTAAATTGTAATTGTGTTTTTAATTAATTCCCCCATTTATATGTTTTATTCATTAACTGCACCACCTTGTGGTACAAATTGGAATTACATGAAAGTACCACCTGACACTAGTTCATCTCCAGTATCTGTTCAACACAATACTAAGAGATTTTGGACATGAAGTCATAAACAATTGTTTGTTCATATCATTTTGATAGCTTTAGTTAACTCTGGAACGTAACAGAAAGTGTCCTACAAAACCTCGCAAGAGATTCGTTTTCATCTTTGTTTACATACAACGTAAGGTTATATTTTTTAAAATACTAACTAGAACATAAAAGTCACATTTAGATGTCAACTAGCAACTTAACTTATTGCTAGCTTTTAAATCCTTGCAAATATTCTTGTTGATAAGGATCTGCATGGTGCGCTTGACTGTAATGCCTGGGAGTACAACAGCACTGACAATTTTATTCCAGTTGAAAAACTCAGTTGTCTTCCTGATTACATCAGAGTTAAATGGTAGATGGCTTCATACTCAGCATACAGACATCTGAGTGGTCTTACCTCTAAATTTCAGAATTAAAGTCTTCAGCTAAACATGCCTTTATATACCATACTTTATATTAAGCAAAAAATATAAAGTATATTCTTATTGTATTTACAGAAAACACACATAATTAATCTTTATGGTCTATAGGTGAATATTTGGGTAACTTATGGGAGTTTTTAGTGTCTTTATGAGTGGCCTCTTACCAGTTGTAGTTGAGAGCTCTACTGTTAAGAATGACTCTTCCTCCCTGGTTTCTTGTTGGCACCGTCTCCAGGCTTGGCAGAAGGAGATTAAGAAAAGCAGCGAGGTTCAGCACAAGACAGGAACAAAAAAAAAAGCAAAATAAAAAGAGAGAGAGAGAGAAAAGAAATGTCAGTACTAAACTTAGGCAAGGCATGATCGGCGAGTGTTAATGAAGCACAGTTTGGTTCATCTTCTACATCAGGCAGCATGCTGGAGGAAAGATGAGTTTAAGGAGTGAAAAAATGTTAAAATTACTACATCTGTACATTTGCAAATGAAAGCACACATGCTTAATAGAGAGAATAACGACATTCTATATTAGTTGAATCACTTGATATTAGTAGTTCTCAGACTCGGTCTAGTCTCAACCTAGAGGCTGTAGCTGCTACTGAGGAAACACACACTGCAACCACTGCAAACTGTATTCAGACAGTAAGGCTGCTGTTATGAAATTGTTCTAAACTGCACAGCATTTCATAAACTCACACTCAATTTTTCAAACAGGAAACAGCAAACAAAACCTGAATGTCAAAATAAAGTTTAAGTTGCATGAACATCAGAATTTAGTCATTACATTTGACACTTCTGTCATTTTACCATTTTGTATGGATAAACCAATCTTAGCCAAGATCTTCATCTTCTGTTTTTACATGCGTAAACTGGTTTGTATTTATAAATCTACTTGAGGTCCCCAGTGACGATGTGGCCATGGCATTTTATCTTTGCTCACCTGTCTCTTGCTTCTCCTGACCAACCTGCTTTGCCCAAATTTTAGCTGGACTTTTAGGTGCTGTTTTTTTTTTTTTTTTTAAATCAGAAACGCTTTTTTGGTCTTAATCGCAGCTCAACTGTGCTTTAAGTTGGACTCAAAGGACACTTGGGGCAAGAAGGGCCTTGAACCTGAACTAAAACTTGAAGCTGATGCTTCTAGACAATTTTACAACAAAACCCTGAACATTAACCACTCTGGACCATGTTATCTGTTCAGCAGAAGTTGCCATGGTGATCTAGCCAGGCTAAACATACCTCACTAACCCATTAATCTCGCTTTGTAGTACACCTCCCCTCACTGGAATGCAGTTTACTTTGGTTTATGGCTGCCTTAATGCTGTCGGATTGTGTGTCCTCTGCTCATCTAAAAGGTGATTAAGAGTTTACATTGATTGATTAAGAGTTTACACAAAGCTACAGCTTCATGCAGACAGCTCAGCTCACTAAGTCAGGCAGTTTGTTTCGACAGCAACCTCAGCTTTCACTCTTTGAGGCTCCTCCTTGTGGCCGTGTCGGGAGCGCTTCCCCTTCTTCTTGCCCTTCCCCCCCGTGGCTCTTGCTGCCGCTCCTGATGAAGAAGCAGTGTCAGCTCCACCTGAGGCTACACCACCACCAACACCTCCCCCACCAGCAGCAGCAGGTTCTTCTGCTGCAATAAATTCGCCTTCACTTTGCCTCCTTTCCTCTGAGCTGAACACTCTGCGTACAACCTTTCTGATCACCTGCAGGGGAAGAAGCATGTTAGCAGGAGGAGGGTGGGGGAGTTGAGAGAAGTGATAGAAAAAAGGATGAGGGAGATATGTAGAGGTGTTGTGTAAAAGTCAATGGGATGATATGTGATAGGCTTGGTTCATGCATCTAAGAGGTTGTCGGCATCATTGTGACAATGAGGTCCAATCTGAATTCCTCTCCTTGGCCCAAACCCTCAATTTTGATGGGTACTGGTCATCTAATCCCTCTAGTCTGCACATGGACAGCAAACTGGAGGGTGAGATAATCAATCAATCCCAAACGAAGGGCGTATGGCCAAAGGGGAAACAGATCGAGCTCACATAACAGATTTGTGCCTTCTATGGTTCATCGTTTTCCCTGTTAAATTTTACTGTGGCTGTACATGGCATATACATGTGGTGTAAGACAAGAAACGTAATGGAGGAGAAAGACTGGTTACTTTTCTGGTGACCAGATTCCCATCTTCATCTATGAACTGCTCCTCTGTCACAGAATCTCCAGGAATGTTTCTGGCCTCCTCTCCCTGGGGTGAAAGTTTTTATTTGGATGGAAAAGTGAGAAAGAAATGAGGAAGGTAAAGGTGCAGGTAGGGTTAGCTCCAAGACTGTTATTCATCAAATAAATAAAGAAGCATTTCCAAACAGCCCACAAATCACAATGGATGCAAAACCAGGGTATTTGCCCTAGAACATATTTATCATATAAAGTGGAAAGGTGATATTTAGATCGGCAGGTTTGTTAAATAATGTAATGTAATACTGCATCCTGCCATCGCAACTCGTCCAAACTTCAAAACCCAAGCCAGCAGCAGCAAAAGCACTGGAAACACCAAATGCTGTTTAAAAGACAATTATAATATAGAAATATGGAAAGAATACAATAAAAGTGTTTCTTTTAAACAAAGCTTCAGAAGGATGTGTCCATAGATGGAAAAATAAAAGTTCAGGCAAAACCTCGTTCAAAAACCATACAAATATATCTTATTATCACCTCAAAATGAACCTTGATAGAGCCAGAGATTGTAACGAAACAATAAAGAATATAGAATATAACTGGTATCTACTGGTGTTGAGCCAGTTTGGCCTTTTGTGGAGGTTGTGAAGAGGTTGTGTTGAATGTTGAATGATGGCTGGAGTACTTTCAGTGGAAACAGGATGCACCGGAGCTCAATTTTCATTGTCTGTGAATACTGTACATGTTATATTCTTGCTTTAGTTTAGTTTTTTTTTTAATCTTTATTAAGGCTACGTCCACACGTACACGGGTATTTTTGAAAACGGAGATTTTCCGTTTTCGTTTTAAAAAATAATCCCGTCCACACGTAAAGGCAGAAATGAAGGAAAACGCTGCTAGGAACATGCCAAAGCAACAGGTGGCGATATATTCCTAACCGTGCAGAAATGTTGGCCAATCAGAAGTCTAGAAGCCTCGGTGGGAAAAAGTAAACAAAGCTGGGGCATAGAAGCAGAACCGAGTCGTATGTGTGGAGGGACAGTAACTGTGTGTGTATATGTAAGCATTTAAACACTGCAGAGAGTACAATTAACAGTAATAGTATTGTAGAAATTCATTTCACCAAAACAATAACGTGGCGCACAGTATGACGTCAAAAAATGAGCACACCTTTGACGCTGCGTTTTCTCCGTTTTTCTCGTCCACACGTAAATGCAAAAACGGAGTTTTCAAAAATATCCACCCTGGCCGGAGGTTTTAAAAATCTCCGTTTTCAGTGACCGAAAACGGCGTTTACGTGTGGACGAAAGGTGCAAACGCATAGAAAAATCTGCGTTTTCAAAAATACCCGGGTACGTGTGGACATAGCCTAAATTTATAAGATCTTCAAGCAGACTTTTTCCACTTTGGAAATGTGTTCCAACATGGGCAGTGTGTCAATTCCAAAGCAGCATTAGGCAAAAACACCACAGTTTTTTTAATTTCAGCTATCATAAGTAAATATATGCTGCTTTAATCTTGTTAATTTGTATCAAAGCTTCACTTAGGGCTTTATGAATCTATTTTCTGATTTTTATTTTATTTTTTTACACTAAGCAATTAACTGATGACTCCCTGGAAACACTTAGCACTTAGCATCAATAATTAAAATATCTATTAGTTGCTTCTAGCTGATGCAAAAAAGAAGCTTAAATCAAAGGCCACCTTTTCTTCCCCCCTCAGAAGAAGTTTGGCACATTCCTTTTAGTCAGTGAATTAAATATATATGGTAAAGCACAACCAACAATCCACCAGCCAGGTAGAAGAGCACAAGCAAGGCAAGCAAGCAATTAGAACTTAATGCTATAGCAAAGCTAAACGTATAAACAGCTGTAGTCAAGTTTCTATTTCAATTTAGAGAACATTTAGAACTCCTCTTTGGGTCATATGTTAATCTAAAAAATGTCTCTTTGTTTCCTCGCACATATCCCGTCTCCAGTTATCTTTTAAAGTTACTATAGCTGCACACACACTCCACTCCATGTTAACAAACTTGCACAAAAGCACTGCTACTGTCATGCTCAGCACACATAGCAAATAGCTTCTGTTCAGTCTCTCTGGTATCACTCTTCTTCACACGCTATCGGTCCACTGCACTCGGCTTCAACATGTCTCTGCACACCAGGCCTAACAGACCTTGAGTACAACCCGTCTGCGTATCACCCTGGTAGTGACAGTGGTCTCCTCATCGGAGTCGGACTCCTTCTCTCTAACACTCTCCTGATGAAGGCAGCCCAGCAGCAGAGTAATGTCAACGAGGCCAGAGTGTGTGGGATTCATATGGAAAGTTAACATATGATAGAAGAATTGGGCTAATCTCAGAGGTTAAATATTTTAAGCCCACATAACAACAGACGGAGAATAATATAATATACAGTTAAAGACTTTTTTAAGGCTTCAAGACAAGATTCTCTGTGAAGGACCGATTCCCACCTGGACTTTGTGCTGGGACCTGTTGCCTCCGTCCTTGTCTCCTCTGCTTGGTCCCGCTGTGCTGCTGTCCTCCTGGGATTCCTTCCTCCTGGGCACCTTTTCCATCCCTTCCCTGGCTGCTTCAGTCTGACCTCCATTCTGTTTGTTGGTCTGAACCTGAGGCTCCTCTAGCGAATCAGCTAGACTGTCGGGGCTGGACGAGTTAAATAGATTTAGGCAAATACACCTGGGAGCAGAAAGACGTGACAATGATTTTAAAATAAAATCAAGTCCTACCTGCCCTTCTCAGAGCCTGGGCTGGGGCCAGGGGCTGCTGACTCCCCGATTGCGCCAGACGTCTCACTGCTCCTGCCTGGAACTGAATAAATGTCTTTTTCTGCTTTCCGTACTTGTTCAAGGATGGCATTCACAAGCTCCTCTGACACCTCCTCTTCCTCCATGCCCTCTTCCAGCTTTATATCCTCCAGCAGACTCTGCAACCTCTCCTGCGTCATTTCCTCCTCCTCTTCTTCCTCCACTCCATTTCCAAGACCAGTGTCTGTGGTAGCCTTCTCTTTTACGGCCCCTCCCTGACTCTCCAAAACAAGATGGTCTCCTGCTTTTACTTCTTCTGTCTCCTTTCCTGATTGCTCTACCAACCGTCTGTCATTATCTGGCCTCTCTACACACACCAATCCTGTTTTTTCTTCAGTAAACATCTCAGTTTCTGCATCTTCAGGCCCAGCAATGGGTAGCTCTGTGGCAGTGGAGCCTGGACCCGGGGCCACTGTGAGGGGGTCGCTGCTGGAGGTGCTGGTGGTCTGAGTGAGAGAGAGGTCGCTAGGTCTAGCAAGCATGGACTTGTTATGGGACTCTACTAAAGGATCGCCCTCGCTAAAGAAGTCGTCTGAGCGCAGTGGGGTTGGGGGCACGTAGTTGAGGTCTGAGGGGGTTTGGAGCTCCAGATCTATATTGTCGTAGCCTGGGTGGATTGTAGGAGTACAGGATTAGAGGATAAGAGGATTGAAGAGGGGGTAAAGATAAAAAAAAGGGGGTTGGAAGAGGGAGGGAAGGAGAAGTAAAGTGGTGGAGGTGATGAAATGAGAAACATTTGAAACATTTAAAGGTAGCATCTGTTCAAAAGTCACAAGTGTAAGTGATTAGGTAGCAGAATAAGATGTAAACACAACTTTACATATTATAAAGTTATTTGTCGGTTTACACCCAGTGGTAACTTCCTGGAAACTGCACCTCTAGATTCTGCTTGTGGTATTTATGCATTTGGTGGGTGAATTTTAGTATTCAGACATATATCAAATTGAAATAAGAATAAAAACACGTCATGCCTTTACCTTTAAAGACTATGGAGGCAAAGTATTACATCTGTATTTAATCTCAAATCACATACACATAGAGCAGACATGGAGCAATATTTACAGTGGAATTTGCCGGCTGAATGGGAGCCGCTGCCCCTTTAAGCTATAATTTAATCTTTGTGAACTGCTCAGAAACACATCTGGCTCTTTAGATGCTACACACACCTATACACATCTACAAAGGTCACAGTGTGCTTTCAGCTGATTTATTGCGACATATTTTTACAACTACGAGTTTAATTAGGACATACAGTTTGGAAATAAAAAGGATAAACACCCACATGCCCTTCATGTCTCTTCTGAACTAAAAACAGGCCATTCATCAGGTGTTCAGCTACTTTAGATGCACGATGTGTTGAGGATAGTTTGCACAATCGGTGTCCAGAGTGAGTTCATTAATCTACTTCTTCACTTAGATGGCATGGTGTACAAAGCAGAAGAGATGTTTCCTCTAAGACAGATATTTCTACACTTTTGTGGCTCTGGCTGGATTGCTTCTTGCAGAACAAACCAGAGTTCAAACCAGACTCCTGTGAATAAATGATAATGCTATTCCAGTTGTACTCGATCTGTAATATATACAAACATCAGATTTGTTGTGTTTAAATTTTGTTCTGCTGCCTCTAGAAGTAGAAAAATAATTAATAATTTCAAGTACTTTTAAATGACTTTTGAACCAGCCCTACCGAGTAGACATGACCACATCAAAAAGTGGTGGAAACAGAAATACACAAAATATAAAAATAAAACCAAAAACCTGGCATATACTGTTTATGTATCCTAAAATTGGCACTTGAGTTTTCTTTTTAAACCTATGTAGACTTAGACCCAGCCTCACTCAAATAAATGCAACATTAGTGAAGTTAGTGAGGCGGGAGACTTTAAAACAAGCTGGACTTCATTTTCAGTAATTAGGTCCGTTTATGAGCAAAAGCTTGAGAAGAGTTCAGGTAGCTTAGTTGTGCTGGTTCAAACAAAAGGCAGTGAGAAGCACGCAGGCCTCTAAATGTAAACCTCAGGAACTGAACGATCTCGCCTGAAGTAAGGAGGAACACCAGTAGGGAGGGGAGAGGATGGGGGAGATGGGGGAGGTGGAGAATGGCGATTTTGAGGTGGAGAAGAGGATGAAGAGCAAGGACAGAGAGGAGGTGTAGAAGAGGGAGAAAGTAAAGGTGGAGAGGAGGCACATATTACAGATGGAGAAGGAGAAGAGGGGACAGTAGCTGATAAGGTGCGAGGAGAGGCACAAGGGAGAGAAGACTCAGCAGATGTAGGAGAAGCAGAATGAGGAGGCGGTAAAAGGTGAAGAGTTGGGAGTGAGGAAGAAAGAGGAGGCAGGGGCTTGTAGAGGGCCGAGGGCGGAAAGTGAGGAGAGAAGAAAGAAGGGCAGCTAAAAGGACTTTGAGGGGAGGAGGGAAGAGGAGGGGAATAAGGCAGAGTGAAGAAGTGAGGGAGAACAGGGGCCACAGGCAGGAGGTAAACAGGAGGTGTGGAAGGGGGAGATGGGAAGAAAAAGACAGAGGAGGAAGAGAAAGTGTTGATATGTGTGGTTTGAACGGGTGGAGCAGAAGAAGAAAGGGAGGTGGTGTGCAGAGGGGAAGGCTGAGGCATTTGAGGACTTCTAAGACGTTTTGGAGCTGTTGCAATTAGCAAGGTTCACAAGACACAGAACAAAAAGCACAGAACAAATGTTAGACAAAAACTGGTTAGAAGACAGAACAAGGCATGTAAAAATAAAACAGGTCAAACACACAGACGATGAAGTGAAAATGTGACTGATGAAGGCTTAAAATCTACGAAGCTGCAGAAGCGAAGAGATTGAGCGTAGGACTCATCGGGTTGCTCATCTCAGCTGATAAGCAAGAAGAGGCACCATAGTCAGCAGGAGTATCATCTCTTTGGACCCTTCACCCCAGGGTAGTCAAATCATTTCAATAATTTTATCATTTTTTTTGCTGGAAAACTGAGATTTTACAGTCTAGGTTTAAAGAGGAGGAGATGTTTATGAAAAGAGAAAGGGCAAATGCTTGGAAATACTAAGTCTAGACTCTATAAATTCCAAGTTCTAATACTGCCACTCTCTTAGAGAAATCCAGACTTTTACTAATTTTATGCAGAGCATAGTAAAGTACGAGGTTTTGTGACCCTGTCCATAAAACCTGCATGTGCTGTTCTGTAGATCGCTCCATGAAAGTCCCATCCTTACCATGTACACGTGTCTCTGTGATGCGCACTGAATCTCCTCCAGTCTATCATAAAAATGAGTCTATCTCAAATCATTTAGGCAAAATGACTAAAGTTGCATCTCTCCTCACCAAATCAGATGAGGAGAGATGGTGATTTTGTTATTTCTTCCTTTTTAATCCACTATTTACTGGTGAAACATGGCTTCCTCGAAGTTCCCCCATCAGAACTCGTCATCCTTCTAAGACATCTAAAGGATGCCCGATCCTGTTCCCCAGGATCAATCTCACATCTGTGGTGAATCTTTTAATGTGAGCGGCCGACGCATTGTCAGCATTTATGCGTGTGCGTGGTGCAGTATGTCTTAATTACCTTGTGGTTGTGTCATATTTTTGGGGGGAGGCAAATACATTAGGTACTCAAATTTTTCCTGTTCTTTGTTCATTCATACCTGCTCTTTTGTCTCTAGATTGTAGGTGAAAAACTCAAAAGGTCATGTAGGCTCAATCTGCAAGTTTGAGGTTCATGCTGAAATCACAGTCAGCGGTCAGAACGACTTTCATGGAGCGATCTAAAAATGGCAGCCAGTTGAAAGCGGTCTAGTGGTGCACAAGGACGTGATGTCGAAATCTGATTAAGTTCAGATCAAGTATGGTTTGTGGACAAAGTTGCAGAACCTTCTGATAACACCTCATATCAGATTTCTTACTAAAAGGAAATTACACAGTATGTCACAATGTTTAGACTGTTTCATGGAAAAAGATCCTGAATGTTTCACATCGAAATGTTCAGAAGAATGGCCATGATTCACATTCGCCAAACCAAACAATAACTTCTCAACCTTACAGTGATTTTTTTAAGACTTGATAGTCTTTAAGGTTTGGTTTGGCAAATGTACACTGGGTTAAATGAGCTTTACTGTTAGAGACTCCCCTGGAGCACTTTTATGCCATGGATAAGAGCGTCTGAAATGGGCCTTGACAGCAATTAGCTCTCAATGTCATCCAGCTTGCGCAGAGGCTGATAAGAGCGATCTTAAACTCTCACCAAAGAGCTGTAAGATTGCTATATTCCTCCACAACCTGTAGAAAGCTGTTAGTAATGACAGGCTGTGCTGTTCTAGTCTTATTCTACTCAACTGCAAGGGTGGGAGCAGAAGCTATGACTGGATCCTGAAGCTGCTGAGGTTAGCAAAAGGTAGCCATTGGTGGGAAGTAGCTGATTAGTGCTGCTCAGTAGACAGGGGCATTTGCTGTGGAAATTAGTCACTCAGAAGCAAGAGGAAGAGGAGGATGAAGAGGCAGGGAGTCTGCTGGTCTCAAAGCAGAGGAAGCTACAGTGGAGCGTAGAGGCTGGAGGCTCGGAGGAACCAGGAGATGACAGGTATCACATAGCTAACAGCAGTGACACAGAAGCATTAGTATACACTGTACACTTTGAAAAAAGGCGTTTCATTTTCAACTCATCTGTGAGTGTGGAACAGAGCACATCCAGATCGAAATGTGCAAGTCATCAAAATAAAAAAAACACTTCTGGATGTGTTGAAAAGGCTTCGCCCATTTAAAGAGTGTTAGAAGTGTATTCATGTGAGTCAAGAACAACAGAGCAGGCAGCCCTTCACACAAAGCCATAGCCATGCATTTTGTTAATCTACTTAAGTCGGTTCCCCAAGAAATCATCTTTGCAAAAAGATCGCCTCAGCTCTGTTGTTATTCAAGGCAACAGGAACACCGATCCTTGTGTTAAGATGACTTCAAGAAAACCTAATTAGACAGACTGGAAATGAGACCATTTCAGAATTTTGTTTTAAAGTGCCAAAGCAGACTCTAAACTGGTCTACTGAATCCAGAGAAGAGCTTATTTGGCTTTACTTAGTGCGTATTATCTGCTTTTAAGTAAAGAACAGTAGTGGAAAGATTTATTTTATTCCATTCATAGCAATGGTTCTGTAAAATCGATGGGAAAAAAGTTGGCATTGGATTTGGCGGCGGAAATTAATAATTAGTCATCATTACTTGTGCTAATCATGTTCCTTAAATAAAAACTGGCAGTCGGCTAATAGAGCTGAGGTAATAGCCAGGGACAAAAGACAGGCTAGAGAAATAAAAAGCATTATTACTGCTTTAACTGAAGACATTCGTGGATATAATTATGCTGTTTAATATTGTTATTGACTTTTACATGCTTCTCTTTTCAGTCCTTTGATACTATGTGGCGGTTGTTGAGTTGTCAAATGATTGGCAGTCTTGAGCCTGCAGTGCTGCTCCCCGTATCCATCGCTTGGCTCTACCCCTGTTTTATGAAGCTTATGCTTAAGTTCAATAAGGAAGATCTGTAATCACTCATCTGCATTCCTGGGTGTTCAGCTTCGTTTCTGTTTACATGTTTACGCTTTCCCACACTGTCAATCTCAGTACTGACATCATTTCTCTAGTTCGATCATCTTCTCGTCATTCTACCTTTCAGGCTCTCTTTCATGCAACCCACCACCTCCCCATCTCCACCGCAGTCAGAGCTCTATTTAAGCCTCAGTTTTCATCTTCACTACCATCAGTGTCTAGACTCCAGGGAGTCCTGTCCTAAATCCATCACCGCTGGGATTTTCTTCTGCTATGATGGGTCATCAGAGTCTAATCGCCAAATACATCTTCCAAGTAATCTCTCCTTATTGAAATTTAGTTATCTAAAGATATATTAACAGTGTGTTTTAACTGTGGAAAACAGTCAAATTTATATAAAAAATAAAGCATTTTCCTTTGAAATGTATTTGAGAACGTATCTGCAATGTGAGGAGGGAAACAGCACATTGTGGTAAAAGTTCTGAAATGGCCTTCAATGTGTCTGTCAGAGTCACAAACTGCTGCCATACTTCATTTTCATACAAGAGGAGAGAGAGAAATACAGAAGAGGGAGAGAAAAGGGTCTGCCATAGTGCTTAAAGCAAGCATGCCATTGTTAAAAATTGGTTGTTATGATTATGTTTTCATGTTTTCTCATGTCATGGCTGTGTTTAATTAATAAAAACACACATAAACATAACTATTGTTAAACCAAATTACAAAGCAGTGCCCTGCCCCATCTGAAAAAATCATTTCAAGATTTCAAGAAAATGCATTTCTCAGCGGGGACAGAGGCGGCATTCATTTCCTTCATCATGCTTTTGTACATCTGACAAAAACAATGAAACATACTAAAAGTTTCATGCACCCAAAAATGGTACAGAGTTTCCTGCGCTTAATCAAAATCAATAATATGGGAACGAATTTCTATCAATCTGTCACTTGTCATTACAGTTCCAAAGACTGAGTGCTATGAACGAATTGCACTGGCCTGTGTTGGTGAACGAACAAGCTGACTGCTCAATAAACACGGCTCCAGTGCGTTTACTACCTGACGGTCCATTATCTGACATGAACTCAATGAACCTGCTGGAGCATTCATTCACTTTGGTCATTAACTTCCACAGTTTAGTCAAGCCTGATTGGTTGAATATTTATTTACGCAGTCATGTCCGACTGCCTCTGGCTGAGAGAGGTGGTGAAGAAGGGTGAAGGGATAGACTGAGAGATAGACTGAGTTCAGCTAGGGTGGGCTACACTTTACCATCGGACTGATCCGGGAATACTGCGTTATCATCGGCAAAGCAGCGTGTGCCTGAAATGTTACCGTAGTCAAATATGGGCCCTTCCAGCAAAGTCACAATATCCAACCGATTGATCTTAGTCAGCACCGCGGTTAAAGCATCCGCTGGGGAGGAGAGAGACAGAAATTACTTCATAAGGTGATGTTGTGGCATCGCAAACATTGATAATGTCCTTTTATTGATTTGTTTTATCATAAACCAGCAACTGAAATATATATGAGTATGAATTACTGCAGCCATATCTACTTCTGTACTTACTTGTGGCATTTTTACCGTCCCTGTGCACCCATTTCTTTAGGAGCATGAAGCTCTGTGCCGTCAGGGAATTGGGGTTTTCCACTCTGATCAAGTTGATCTCATCCACAGAGAAATCCAGCTCCCTGGCCAGCTCTGTAACAGCAGCATATAGATAGCTGAATTGCAGGGCTGGAGTTCCACAACAGGACATTTTTGCAGCGCCATTATTGACCACCAAAGTTACATGTTTTGTTTTATCTGGTCTGTGGGCTACGCTTACTCATGCTCGTGTTAGTCTTTAAGCCATCCATTCCCATGAGAGAAATTCAAACATACAAAGAGCTAAAGTGAAACTGAGTGCCATTAATGATCTTTTTTTTTTTAAAATTGAGCTATTGCTCTCTTTCTTGTTCCCTCTTTTAACCAGTCAGCATTCAACCTATGCACAGCATCATCCATGTCAAGCTGACACAACGTGTTGTTGCTTTTCTGGAGAACTGCCTGCAAGCATGATGCCACTGCCATTCCCAGCATTTACACCTGTGGTATGAATGTGGGTGGTGTGCTTCTGTTGCTCTGCAGTTTTGCAGCATCTGATGCCATCAGTGCCATGCATCGCTTCCTTCTTTTTTGTAAAGTTAAATCATTGTGAGACAATAGCTGATCATTTCACTTTATCACTATTTACTGGCATGCATGCCAAAGCCTGCTCAAACGTGACTAGAACTCATACTACAAACAGAAAGCAGACAGAAAACTTGTCCCTAGCTTCCAGATCTGGCATGTTCATATGAAGATATCTGTTTATAGAGATTGCTCTCCAGTTGATAAATCTGACAGTATCGTGCCTAACAAAGGGAAATGTGTAGAAATGCAAAAACAAACGCAGCAACAGTATTTAGCTAGAAAATGTGTGTGGCGAAAGTGGCATTTTGAATTAGTTTTCATGTTTGCACCACTTACATCTGATCTGGGCCCATGTTACAGGTTACACTTGATTGCCTACAAAGCAGGAGATGTGCTGATGCACTGATTAAACTGCAGCACCGAAATGAATTACTGCCAAACAAATGTGTCAGACAGAGTCTGCAGCTAATGAAGGACTAGAATTACGACTATAAATCTAATGTTCAGCTGGTCTGATGGTTCACTGCAGCTCTGCAATTGGAACACACATTAAATATGGATTAGATTCCTTCTCTCAGCTGGGCACTCATTCAGCGGACATGCGTTCGCAGTGCACTCACAGCCAGTCGTACAAATGCTGGTAGGCGTGGGGAAAGTGCTGCAGTGCAGGCGGCCGCAGGGGCCACGCCCGAATCGCTGCTCAAGTAAAATATACACCTGCTATTCCTCTAAAAATACACTCAAATATAAAGATGTATCAAAGCTTTATGCTCCTTAAAATCAATGAAGCTTTTATTGCTTTATATATTTTCTTCACCGTTTCAAATCCTAGTATCTCCTACATGTATTCAGCAGTTAAGGATCTTCAAAATTTGAAAAACATCCAAACATGAGATGTTTTTTAGTTATTTTTTGTTATATGCTATGTACTATAGCACTATTATGTGGCTATAAATATCACTGCAGTACTGCTCAGTTGTGACATTTTTACAGTATACGTCCACCAGGTGGCAACAAACCCTTAAAAACTGACACATAGAGTCCGTTTCAGTCCAGATCATTCCTTCAGCCTTAAAAATTTTCCCATTTTATGATAATCATTTTACTTACATCACTTTGTGGTTCTGTTTGGCTTAATTTTTACACAATGTGAAAGTAAACAAACAAACAAAAAACGGAGATGTGTTCAGACTCACCAGTCCAACTGAGTCCAAGGTGGTCAGCTACTATCGCCATGCGGAGGTCTGTTCTCTCACAGGGACTGTGAGGGCCTGTGCGAGGAAGCAAGGAAGGGTAGGGTACAAACAGTTAGTGTTATGTAATGACAGAAATTTCCAAATGAATCACATGTGGTTCTCAGTGAGAGACACACACAGAGACTCAGAGAATGTAATGAAAGAAACAGATTGGGATTGTGAACTTTAAGTTTGTCTGTTTTGGACCTTTCACCTTGATGTAACCTGCTATATAACTACTTAATGAACATTTGTTTTTAATGCAGTGTTTATATTAAACCAAACAAAGAAAGACCAACTTTAGCTCACTGTCCCATGTCCCACTTATAAGAAAAAAAGAGATTTTCTGGCCTGACAAACCTCAACGTTCTGTTAAGAAACTAAATGCTTATTTAGGATTTTTTCTGCTCTTTTGATGAAAACTGGATGAGAAGGAATCCAATACTATCTGTCTGTTTGGTATTAATTTACTCAAAGTCCATAGTTTACTTAGCTTAACACAAAACCTACCACAATTGCTGAAGCTCTCCAATGAGATGTTTTAAGGGCTATATTCTACAGCTTTTTCATTTCATTTCCAGACCTTGTGTGGGCCTCCACATCATCTGTACCCAGGGATGGGAAACATTTGCACAGTTTTGATTATGCAACCATTAGAAGAAGTAACTCTAATGATATCTACATTTAAAAAGAAGTATTAAAACGTACAACTATAATGAAGCATTAATTGATTACATTTTGATCAGTTCTTTAAAATATGACAACTTTACAATTAGATGCACCCTTCATTCCAACCTGTCGTGGCAGATGGCTCCTCCTCACTGACCTGCTTCTACTCTGAGGTTTCTTTCGGGCAAAAGGGAGTTTTACCTTCCCACTGTTGCCAAATGCTTTTTCATAGGGGGTCGGCTGATTGTTGGGATTTTCTCTGTATTACTGTAGAGTCTTTACCTTATTATGCAAAGTGCATTGAGGCAAATTCAACTTTGAACCAATCAAATTTCTTTTTGCGAGGACAGAAGATGCTCCTTGCTGGCCAATAGAAGGAATGCAGGTGTCAAGCCCTTCCACACTGACAATACTTTGCAGACCTGTTCTTTTATATTCAGTTTATTTTCTTTAGTTCAGTGTGCTAAATATTAGGTCTTAATGTAACCGAATCATTATATTAACAACTTTTAGGCCTACGGGTGGCTGATAACATCAAGGGGAATCAAAGATTTGAGAATCTGTGAGGCCAGAAAAATCGTCAATGACATTTTTACACTAATAAGTTTGATATTTAGTAGTATTAGTTTCTGTAATTAGAGTTCAGAGTATCACATAACTAACCACAAACAATCTATCATCAAGCAACATTCCCACTCACCGATAAAAACAATTCATAGCTTAAACTTGAAATCAAAAGCAATCTAGCTACAACAAAGTGCCAGTGGCTGACTACACTGACATGCCCTTGTGTAGCTGTCATTCAAGTGATTGTCAAGTTCAGCCGATGTATTGTTTTCACAGTGATTTCACGGAGCAAAAGTACCACCAAACATATCTACAAACCAGGCAAGCAGATCAAAACAAACACACCTTCATAATTCCCCAAAACAGTCTAGATCTCAGACACATCTAGAGTGGAGGTGAGTGCTGTGGTGTTGTGTCATGTGGGTAGGTGGAAAGCTAACTTTGTCTTATTGTGAAAGAAATGTACACTCACAAACTTGGCCTCCCAGAGGTGCTTTTGCAACCATTTATGACAACTAAAAGGTGCTTCCTGATACTGAAATTTGCTTGTACCGGTTTCTATCCAAAGACCTCGCTTTTATAAAGCTCTGTCCACCAGAACAGTACTTCTATGATGTTATTAAGTGGTATCCTGTTTCCTAAAAGGATTAAAACCTTAAATTATGTGAAAGTCTTCTGCTCTACCGACAGATTCTCCATGTTGTAGCCTCTATCTGAACAAATCAGACAGCACAGGACACATAAAAAGAATGACAGGAAGAAGAAATGACGGCTACATTACAAAGTCACATCACAAGCACCCACAACAGCTGCATGCATCTCATAGAGAGAAGGGTAAAGTATAACAAGTTTTTAGAAAGAGTTTACAAACTAGTCTCGTTCTCCGTGACAGGAGCGGGGATTGGTTGATCAACCTGACTCCCTTCCTCCTTCTGCTCTTGCTCCTCCCCTCCAAGTGTCCGCCTACTTTTCCTCATGCTCCTCCTCATCCTCTCACTGCTGGCCTGCTCAACCTCAGCTCTCACATCTATAGGAGATGATGTTGATGTAGTGGTGCTGGTGGAGGTGGAGGTAGAGGTGCGTGAAGGGCAGGAACTTCTAGAAGCTCTAGATGGTTGTGACAAGGAAGTGTTCCTGGTAATGCTGAGGCTGCAGCTCTCTTCGTTCTCAGTGGCCAGTGTTTTCCCCTCTAACTTTGCTTCAGCCTCCTTGGAAATGGTTTTGTCCAAAGACTTGACTATCTGGCTACTGACAGACTTTGCTTTGAAACATTTTGACACTGAGCTGTTCTTTTTCCCCATCTCTTTTGTTGTACTTCTACTGGCGGTTTTTATTAAAATGGGTTTGCTTTTACTTAGCTGCTTACCATCCCTGGCAGAGTTATTGCTCCTACCCCTAACTGTAGATTTAGTACTGACCTGCTTCTGCTCTTGCAAATAAGAAGGGTATTTAATGGCTTTTAATACTGGAATTTTCGACCTTGGTAATAAAGTCTTAAAAGGATCTAATCGTTCCCTGATTTTAAGTAGTCCACGTTTCCTAAGTAGGACTTTATCATTTTTTTGTGACTTGTCTTTCGTCACTGGCTGACTATGACTGCATAGTTTTTGGCAGGGTACCCTCAGCGGTAACCTGGACTTGAATATCTGGCTTTTGACCTTTTTGGCTTCAGTGTTTATTATTGCTACATTAGAACAACCCCTGCCTTCACTTCTGCTTTCATCTAACTGGCTGAAGGAAGCTTCGATCCTGCTGACCTCTTGCAGAGTGGATCTTAAAGAGGACAACACATTGTACATGACACTGCCAGTCTGAAAGACATCTGAATGGCACTCTGGGATATTGCTACTGATATTGTCGCTCGATGTTTGCAAACTTCTAATCTGTTGCGAAGGTGCAGAAGAATAATCTGTGCTTTGGTAAACTGTGTTTTGAAACTCCGAGGTCCATGCCAAATTATCCGTCTGTTTGGACCTATCTGGAGTAATGTTTGATGCACAAAAATTAAAATAATCTGTGTCATTTGATGTTGCATGGTAAAAACTATCTATATTTCCCCCTGAGGTTTTGTCTTTACAATGATCAAAGGTGCTTGGTGTTCCACTTTTAGCCGTGCTATTTGAGGCACTGGATGTTTTATCAGATGAAAGGTTGAATTCAGTTCTAAAAGTGGAGAATTTAGGCTTGGTGTTACAGGATGAGTTTGTGCATGTGCTATAACTGCTAGCCTGATTTGATATTTCTAGTTGGACAGTAGTAGTCTGAATGGGTACATGGGGGACTGAGAAGGTATTTGTGGGTTCCTGAATATAAAACTGCTCCCTCCCATCTACTTCAGTGTCCCTGACCCTGTACCTGCCCGCCGCGTAATAATGCTCACCAATCTGAAAAAACTGGAGCCTCTCCTCCACCATGTCCCTCTTGCTCATGTCAATCGCACCACTGCGTGTCATCTCAAACATCTTCCCTTCATGGAAGGGGAATGGATTTGGCTCGCTCGTCGGCGTGCTATCATCCGTTGGAGTTCGGGCTGGGGTAGTGTCTGGTGTTGTGGCCTGGGACTGGTCGTCGACTGCCAGTCCAAAAGGCTTAGGCTCACCATTGTTTCCCCGTGTCCCTCCCATATCAACGACTTCTTCTCCACCTTTACTGGGCCAAGGGTCAAAGTCCAGCCCTTTGGTGGCAACAGTCTTAAAAGGAGAATTAAACTCCTCTTCTATCTTATAACTAAAGTAAGTGTCTGAAAACCCCTCTTTGTCTGAATGTTTTTGTTCCTGAATTTTAGCTCCATCTTTACTAACACCATCAGTCTTTTCACCATTTGAGGGTATCTCTTTAACAAAAATATCCTTTTGACATTCCTCTGGGGTTTTTTCCTCTTCAATAACCTCCAGTTTAGTCTGGGGAAAAGAGCGATCAGAGGACCTAAATGTATCTGTTGCCCAGACATCTCTCCGGCTGTCTGGAAGACCAAACAGCCGTAAGTCTGCCTGCTCGCACAGGCCATCATCCTCATCTTGGAGTTCATATCCATCGAGGGAGTCTATTTCTGTCGCATCAGTGTCATGGGAAAATTCAGCCGTGGTAGCAATTGAACAGTCTGTAATTGACTGGTCATTTCCATTTTGTTCACATTCATAGTCCTCTCCTTTGCCATTTGAAACTTTTGAACCATTACTAGAACCATTAGTGCCATTGGTGCCACCATTGGGCCCATTTCCATTTTTGTCATGTTTTTTTGATTTGGATGCCTTTTCCTTCTCTTTCTTTTTGTCCTCCTCTTCAGAAACTTTAGAAGTGAATTTCTTGCAAGGAATGGGTTGGAAGATTGATTCATCATCCTCTTCATCAGCATTTGACTGACTGTCATCTGCCTCAGGGGGCACTGGGGATGGGGGCTGTATTCGTATAATTGGCTCGACCAGGAAATGCTTGTCATGTTCTTCCTGCAAATTCACCTCCATCATTTCCGTCTCGGTCTCGGAAGAAGCACAGGAACCTTTTCTCTCTGGGTCTGACATTTCTGAACTTGAGTCCAGAGGAGGAGGGGGAGGGAACTCAATATATGCAATACCTTTGTCTTTTGATGCTTGTTGCTTCTCCTGTCCTGTTATTTCGTCATGCATGCCAGTGACTCTTTCATGTTGGTTTAAATTGCTGACGCTCAACTCGTGTTGATTATCAGTTTTTATTTCTTCCTTATTGGCATTAGCTATGTCTGCTTGGGTAGAGTAAATGCTGGTTTTACTTTCTGGTAGGGCCTCTTTAAAAGAGAAAACCTTGCCCTGGTCATCTCCCTCTGATTCCTCAGATACCTCCATGATGGGGCTTGGTTTCCCTGGCAAGAATCCCATAAAGCCATCAGGGGTCCTGCATGTGAGATCATAGCTGACCTCCTCCGAGCTGGGAGTCTCTGGTGTAATGGGACTTTTTCCCGAGCTGTCAAAGAAAGAAACCTGCTCTAGCGTGTCATCATCTGGGCTTATGGGGCTTAGAGCTAAGTTTGATTTTTGTTTGACATTGTACAGTGCTCCTTTAGCTTCCCTCTCTGCCTGTCTACCCACCTGAACGCCAACATAAACAGGTAATGTTTTTATGCCCTTGAAGTTCTCTCTGGTTGTTGTAGCAGCTGGAGGTGTAATGGCTTTCTCCAACATTTCTCTGGGGCTAGGAAGGTTATTGGAATTTGAATCTTTGGGTGCATTATCAAGAATTTCAAAGGTTAGATCTGTTTTGGCTGGGACTGTCTCATGACTTTGTACTTTGGTTTTAGGTAGTGTTGGTATCTGTGAGGGTCTAGTTATTGTTGGTTTCTTAGTGAGGTCATTATCTAAAGAGAGGGATGTATTTCTAACAGGAATTTGAGATTCTGTCTTTTTTCTAAGATTTTTATTTAGTGTTTCCTCTGCATCCTTTTTGAATAGCTCAGTTATAATTTCTTTGGAAGCACTTTCACTTTTTGTAACTTGTTGGTATTTTTTACTGTCAGTGGCTTTTTCTGGAATTTTAGCACTGTCAGGATTTATAGGTGATTGAGCTTTCTGACTTTTATTGCTTTCTTTAGTTGGCTGAGTTGCACTGGATGGCCTATCCTTCCCTTTAGTGCTTACTTTGTCTGTCTTTGTTTCACTGATTTGTACAGAGGCATCTGGGATGTTTTTGTTAGGTGGCTTGTCTAGTTTGGGGACTTTTGGGCATGCTGATATCAAACCAGGTTTACTTCCATTTTTGTCCTTCTCAGCATCCTTTTTTGGGCTTACTTCTTCTGAAGTTTCAGATGCTTTTGACACTTTTCCTCCTGCAAAAAACTGATAAACGGGAAGTTTGCTCTCCTGCAATTTCTTTATTGACGGTTTTGGCTGTACTGGAGGAGGAATTTTGGCTGGACTAGACTGACTTTGACTAACTTTTTGAGCCTCCAATTCAAACTTCTTTCTCACTTCACTCACTTTGGATGTTGATTTTACATGAGCAGGAGAGGAGGGTTCAGACACACAGGACTTTGTCTGTTGTTTGATTTTATCCTCACTAGTATGAGAGAGAACAGTTTTCTGTGGGCTGCTTGGTAGACTAGAGCTTTTCTTTTCAGCTGCTGTGGTGCTGCCAAACATTTTACCAACTGAAGGCTCCCTGAGTTTGCTTTTACTGAACACCTCTTCTGCTTTGGGTTTCTGCTGGGTTTTCTCTGGGCTGCTGCTGGGTGAGCTAGGCCAGGACCTGGGATCCTTGAGCTCTCGCTTTATAGGTTTTTTCTCAGGAGACTGAAGCTCATCATTGAGCTTTTCCGTTTTATCACGGAAGAACTGTGAGACCTCACTGAGTTTTTCTTCAGCTTCCTTTACAGTTTGGTCCACCCTATCCTCATAAATTAACTTATCCCTGCTCCTGTCATGTTTATCCTCTGTAAAACGCATCCAAACTGCATGTTTAGGGCTGCCCTGTTCTGTGGAGTAATGGAGCACTGTTACCTTATCAAACTGAGATGGATCATCCCTGTGCAGGAATTTAGCAGATTTAGGAGACCCATCTTTTGATGACTTTGAGACAAACTCTCTTTTGGGGCTTCCTTGCTGTTGACTTGCACCCTCAGTGCTACGGCTACTACTTTCTTCAGTACCCAGGTGGCGGATTTTGTCACAAAACAGTGCTGAATCCTCTGTGTCAGAGTGGCTCAGTGATGCCGCATCAAGTTTTTCAGAGAGAAGCATTTTCTCAGCAAACCTGTACGACTCGCCTCGGATCTCTGATAGCTCATCATCACAGTATTCTATGGACTGCTGGCTCAAAAATTTAAGTGCTTTATATGAATCATCTGCTATGAGTTGAGCAGAACTCGGACGACTGTCTTCTTCCTGTGACACCGGAGTATTAACACGAGATGTTTCCAGAAAGGTGGGCAGGGATTCTTCAACAGCAAGCTCCTCTTCTTCTTGTTGGGCTTCATCATAATCAGTCAGTTCCTTTATCCCCCGATCACCTTTGTAAACATAAAGCTCGGGGTGTTTCTTGGTTTCCCTGATAATGACCTCAGTCGGTTCTGCAGTGCTGTGGCCCTTCTCAATATGAACCTCAATTATCCTTTCAACTTTGGGTTTGGATTTAACATCTCTGTCAAGAAATCTAGGAGTGAGCTCATCACCTTTGACAGAATCCTGGCTAGCTTTGTGTTCAAAAAGGCCTGCGAAATCTTTAGATGGATCCCTACCTGACTGGAAAGCTTTCATGATATCTCTAACTGACATTGCCTCCTCTAACATCTCTGCACCATCAGTCAGTTGGGGCTTATGATAGACCATTCTGGTAGTAGTAGTAATGTGGGTTTCCTCTTTAAGACACATGCTTTTCATTGAGTCATCTTCGGGCATTTTCATCTGTAGGGCTTTGCTGGAGCTTGCTGAAATTGCTTCAGGTGGTTCTATGGCAGGGAGAGCAGTTGCAGCCTCTTCCATTAGTCCAGGCTCACAAAGCTCGTCAGGCTGCTCATAGCTCCTAATATGGACTACTTCAGTCCTGGTCTCTGTTACGCAGGGGGGGATAGGGGAATCTGTGAATAAAGGCTTAGGTCCTGTGCTCTCTGCACTTTGGGGAGCAGAGGGTGTCTTTTCACTCCTGGTCTCAAACCCACTGTCTGACAGAGGACTCTTATCCTGCTCATGAGACAGATCCTCTGGCGATTCCAATATAGTGTCCGGCCCTTGATATGACTCAGCAAGTTTGCTTAGGTCCTTCTCTGAGGGAGATCTGAGCATGCCTGAAACTGGCGGAGGCATTTTGAGTTTGTGCTCCTGTATTGACATGGATGGCTTGAGAACACGTTTCTGTTTCTCTTCCCCATCTCTTTTTGCCTCTTCCTCATACTTACATTTCAGCTCTGCCATTTTTGAGAGAGAGCTAGCACCGATATCATTTGTTAAAAAGTCTACTACTTTAGCCAAGTCTAACTCTTTGCTTGACTGGTGCTTAAGTAAAAGTGTGTGTTCGTCAAAAGGAGGGTAATAGTCTGAGATGGCACTTCTTTGTGCCTCTTCAATCTCATCTTTGGAAAATTCTTCCCATTCGTCCTCTGAGGCTCTTTCTTTAGCTTCACCAATGATATCTTTCTGTAATATCTCACTGACTTTGACTAAATCTTCTTTTACTTTCTCCACTAGAGTATATGGCTCCTCTTCCTCTAACTTAGTCTCTTTGGGAGTGCCAGTATGTGAGGTTTGGACAGTTTTAGCTGCAGTCTGTGTGTCTGTCTGCAGAATAGCTGTCATCCTAATCAGATCTTGTTTCATGTCTGCTACATCTTTCAATATCTCCTGGTTAGAAGCTGCAGTCGGGTGGATAATGGGTGGTGTAATAAATGGAGGGGATTTTAACTGGGAATTTATTTTTGTTGTAGTAATACAGGAAGACAAAGAGGAAGATGGAGATGATGAGGTGCGAGAGGAGTCGGGAAGAGCCATCTTAAGAGACCCAGGTCCTGGTTTGGCAGGGGTCTCTGGGATGACATTAACCAGTGAATAGACAGGCACAGTCATTGTATTAGACAATGCCGTGTTTGGGGAGGCAGCTACAGATCTCAGAGAACCATAAGCAGAGCTTGCTGTTGCAGATCTACGCGAGGACGACAGTGACTTAAGAGTGCCATAGCCTGAGACAGAGTACGAGTCTATAGCCTCATTTATGGCTGCACTGACACCAGAGGTTGCTGCCTGGGTGGTGGCCAGGATCCTCTCTTGAAGGCTGCTACTTCTCTCTGAAATAAGGCGTGAAGAAGGGGAGGATGGAGTGGACGAAGAGGATGGATATTTTACAGGTGAGACAGATCCATTCATCATGGACAATTCTGAAGAAGCAATGGTTGTTTGGCCACCGGAAGAGAGAGATGAGATGGATGTCCTCCCTCCACGGGATGAGAGTGTTGAGTCTACAGAAGTTTTCAAAGAGGACAGACTGGAGATGCTTTTAACAGAAGACAGGGTATGCGCCCCTGCATCTGTCACAACTGTGGACCCAAGGGCAGTTTTAAAAGGTAGATTAGAACTGTACATGCTGTACGATGTCTTTGGTGATGCTGTAGAAGGAACAGGAGCTGGAGACCTTTCTGGTATATAACCATTGGGCATTGAGTGAAGTGGAGAAGTCCTTGATGTATATGCTGAAGCAAGACTTTTGATAGAAGCTGGATCAGTGGCAGGTTTGCATGGACTTCCAGAGGACACAAGGCTGGTAGATCCCTGGACAGGGTACTGACCCTGCTGGACTACAGTTTTAATGGGTGAGGGCATAGTCCTGTAAGAACGGATGGGGGATGAGGACGCTATGTCACTGGCAGATTTGACTGGGGATGACAGGGCAAGTGCTGGTGGAACTTTTATAGTTGTGGGACATGCAGCTGATGGGGCTGAGAGGGGCCAAGTAGATTTTAGTGGAGAAGCAGCTGGTGAGGCTGCCGGTGAATCGGTAGAGATGAGGGCACCCCCCATTCCGACGGGCCTTGTTTGGCCAGGGACGGTAATAGGAGCAGTCGACCATGGTGGGCAAGGTCTGGTTGGAAAGATAGGTTTGTGAGGGTAACCAGCAGGCAATGCTCTTGTTGCTGCGCTTCGTTCAACTGCTGTTTCTTCAGGTGAATTCATAGAAACAATGATGAAGAAGGAATGGCAAAAAAATAACAACAAAAATGCAGAACAGTAAAGATAAACAGAAAATCATGTTGGGGAAGGTAAAGGAGAAAAAAAATGTGAAAGAAGAGGAGATCAGAGGAGGAAGAGTTGGTCAGTAAAACAGTCCTAGTATTAAATAAGGAACAATAACAGTTACATGAGGTAAGAAATTTAATTACAGACTAAAGATGGCGTAAAAAGAAACAGTTGTGTTCCTGTGTGATTTCTGTTTGGCAGATGAATCAAAAAACAGCAAAAACAACAGAAGAAACAAACAGAAGAGAGCGCACACAGCAGCAAAGTAAATTTCCAAAGACAATGGCGTAGACCAACAACTGACAACAGAAAAAATGGCAAGACAAATGCACCAGGATAAGCACAAAAACAACTTCTCTCTTTGGACTTTAGAAACTCTAATATCAACATTTGGGTACTGGCTCTAATTTCAATCCGCTTTTTTAAGTGCCTTTTATCTGTTTGGTCCAAAAAGTACATGATGACAGATTCCTCAGACAATTTAGAAACTGTGATCCAACAGAGCCAATGGCTGTTGAAGGTTCCATTTTCATTTTCTCTTAAAACAAATATGACAAAATGTGTTTTCCAAGACTAAAGTTTTGGCCCATTTTGTCATGCAACATCAAATTGGTGACAAGCAAAGACTGTGGTAAAACTTAAAATAAACACCTGAAAGAAAGCCAAACTCAAGACCTCTGACATGCATTTTTGTCCCACACAAAACTGCTACTTCATCACAAAGCCAAAAAGAGCTTTAAACTCAGAGGGGACAAATGAAATACAGAAAATTTTTTACTTTGACCTCCATCCAAAATGCCTATTACCATGGTGCTGGTAAGTCAAAGAAAAAAATTTGACTTGTATAACACAGCAGTGGAAATCAACCCAGAAGAACAACAACTCACAATGTGGGCAAGCATGGCACAGAAACTCAAAACCACTTACTGACCCATGCAAAAATATATACCACTTCGTAAACAAGCATGTGGACAGTGCGTGTCATGTAGGATGAGAAATAATGCATTTGCACATTAAATAAGTCACACCGATCTACATATCGATTACGTGTTTTACAGGTTAATTAAAGCTGTTAATTAACTAACTTATCCACGAAACTTGGCATAATTAAATTCATTACAGGGTTTGTTAGTGAAGATGTCAAACTCACTCAGTGCAGGCTCGGCCAGATAGCTGTAGCGCTTACGTAAGGCTAGGGATGCAAAGGTATGACGTTGTCGATCTGGCTTTTCAGTCTGCAACAATAGCAAACAACACAAAAACCTATCAGTTCTAGGTCACCCTACATTGACTATTGCTGCCAAATGAGCAACAACTGGACCTTGCAATGTCAAATTAAAGCAAACCCTTCAGTCTGCACTGACATTAAATACAAAGCCCATATATGACACCAACAACAACTCCTTTAAGAGTATTCAAGAGGTTTTAATCTTCTATTTAGGAAGTGCTAATACTATTTAGATTAAATGTTACTTATGCCAAGCTAGTCTTTTAGCTTGAGTTTGTCAAGCTAAGCCTACAAACTATCTACTGCATGTACTTAAAAATTAAAATAATGAGTTTGGAGCTAGTGTTAATACATGCTAAATCTTAAGAACAAGTAAACTCTAGAGTCATTTGTATCACATACTATAGAACGCAAGGGATAAGGAGTGGACACAAGACAAGTAGTTTTTCATTTCTACCATATATCATGCAAAACTGAGCAGCTAAAAGTTGCTTTGAAGAAGCTTGTAATGCCCTTATAGAAGCGGAAAAAAATAAGGCTATGGAGAGCAGAGCAGGGCCACTATAGGTCTAGCGCAGAGGACAGCACAGGGTGGGGAGGGTGTGGTTTACCTCATCCTCGGCATCTGACTCCGTTTCCTGGTTCCCAAGATGCATTGCAGGAACAGGGGGAGTAACATAATGGAAAGCAGGGGGAAAAGAAACAGGGGGTGAAAAAGGAGTGATTGACAGAAGCTCCAACTCAGAAGAGAGCCACTTAAGCAAAGGAAAAAGCAAAAACCAAAAAAATAAAAACAGACCAAACAAAAAAAAAAAGAGCATAAAGCGCCAACATTCAGCAGCAAAATGAAGCCACGAAAAGCCAGCCTGATAACTAAAAACCATTGCACACAAGCCCTCAGCCAAAATCAAAAGGCGAGTAGGAACAAAATGAAACAGCCAATGACAAGAATCCACTGTAGATGTAACCGATATACACAGAGAGAAGCTTTAAACAGATAAAAGACACAGTGGCGGCAATTTGGCCAAAGTCTTTCTGTCTTTCATCTATCCGGGGCTGAAACTACCCTAACCATGAATATGGTTATGGATGTGACAACAGAGAATGGTGGCTGTATGCTACCTTACCTTTTTCACTGCGGGAAGCGTGATGTTCAGGTTGCACACGGCAGTTTGTGGAAGGCCTTTCATGATCTTACATTCTTTCAGGAAAGT